TTACTGTGCTTTCATACTCAAGTGTGTACTGACCCCTCATGTGGACTGGACTATCATACTTAAACCAGTGTGATACACCTGTGTGCAGAACTCTCACCTTGACTGTGCTTTAATACTCAAACCTCTGCGCTCGGCTCTCACCTGGACTGCACTAAAATACTTATTAAACCACTGTGCTGATCCCTAACTTGTAAGTGAGGTTTAATATTCAGCAACGTGTATGCTGAACCTTCATCTGTAGTGTACTTCAATACTCAAATCTGCGTGCTACCCTGTGAGACTTAATACGTACTGACACACCTGTGTGCTTCAATCTAACCTTTTTATAGCTTTTTTTTAATGCTCAAATCTGGTGAGTAAACCCTCACCTGGACTGTACTAAACTACTTAAACCAGGGTGCTGAGCTCTCCCTTGTACTGAACTGGAATACTCAGTGATGCACCAGTTTGTCGAACCTTCACCTACAGTGTACTTGAATACTCAAGTCTGTGTGCTGAGCTGTCAACTGTACTATGAGAGTACTCAGCCCTGTGTGATGAACTGTACTGTTGTAATGCTCAGACTTGTACTGAACTTCAATATTCACTGACATGCCTCTATGCTGAACCTTCATCTGTAGTGAACTCTCAATTGTACTGCGCTTCAATACTCGGCGACACCAGTATGGTGAACTTTCACCTGCAGTGTTCTTTAATACTCAAATCTGTATACTACACTCTTACCTTTTTACTGGGTTTTAATACTCAGACACACCTGTATAATTTACTTTCATTGTTTTTAATATAATGTTTTTATACTCAAATCTGTGCGGTCGGCTCTCACCTGGACTGTACTAAAAATAACTGGTACTTTTTTTCTGTTTTAATTCTGAAACCTGTGTTCTGAACTCTCATCTGCAGTGAGCTTTAATACAAAACCCTGTGTGCTTCATTCTTGTCTGTAATGTGTGGTAATACTCAGACCCGTACACTAAACTCTAGCTTTACTGTACTTTAATACTCAAATCTGTGTTCAGCTCTCCCCCGGACTGTACTAAACTACTTCAAGCAGTGTGCTCATCTCTCGCTTGTATTGAAATTTAATACTCAGTGACACAACTGTCTGTTGAACCTTCACCTGCAGTGTTTTAATACCCAGCTGTTTATGCTAAACTGGCAGCTGTCCTATTAGGGAACTCAGCCCTGTGTGATGAACTGTAACCTGTACTGTGTTGTAATAGAGATGTGAACTCTCAGCAGACTGGTACTATTTTGCTCTGCTCAGAGTTGTGTATTGAACTATCACTTGTACTGGCCTTCAATGGTGAAAATCATTGGACCTACAGGACACTTATGACAGATGGTGCTTGAGGAAAGCTCTAGGTATCATCAAAGACCCCACCCACCCCAGCTCCAGCCTCTATGACCCTCTACCATCTGGAAAATGGTACCTGGACTACCAGACTCGGAGACAGTTTTTATCCCCGCACTATCAGAGTATTAAACTCCCAGCCTCTCTTGCCTATGATCTGAACCTCACAGTGCCTTCTCTCTTACCACAAACTCTCACACACATTGAAATCTACCCCTACCTTACACTCCCCATTTCTATCCTTTATTCTGTTCTGTTGATGCATGTTTTTCCACATTGCCTGTTGTCCTTTAATATACAATTGTATTGTTTTTTTTTGTGCCACTTATCGTCTGAGCGCAAGCTCAATAGCATTTTATCCCATCTACCTGTATGAGTATAATGACAATGAACTTGACTTGAATCCTCAGTGTTAAACCAGTAGGCTGACCTTTTGACTTGCAGTGATCTTTATAATACTCGTGTCTGTGTGCTGAACTCTCATCTCTTCTATTTAAACAGGTGGACTGTACTCCTGTCACTCTTGTAACTGAGCTTTAATACACAGTGACATGGATGTAGAGTGAACCTTCATCTGTAAGTTACTTTAATACTTGAGTCTGTGTGCTACACTCGCCTTTACTCGGTTTCAGTACTCAATGACGCTCCTGTGTGCTTTACTCTCACTTGATTATGATTATAATTACTCAAATCTGTGCTCCCCTC